GCATTGGGCTAGTATTCCAAAGGTCGTAGGTCCGAATCCCACCGTGGGCGGGCATATTTTTCAAGCTCGCCCGGTGTGGATATACACTCAGAGTAACACCACAAATATCATATTCACCTGAGTACACTACACCAACATAGAAAAAAATTATATAATACATATTTAATCAATATAATTATTCACCTAACTTGATTTCTAAGTTAATAACCATGAAATTTAACTTTTTAGAGTGGTACGCTAAACGCTCATGAATTTTACCATTATATGTATTATTATCTATTATCACTTTGAAAATATTTGGTGCATTTATCGGTTCAGTGACTGCGAAAGAATTTCTCATACGACTAAATTCAAAGTTACAAAAGAATTAAAATCACTCCCACTGTCACCTTGGAACTCATAGAGCGTGCATTCTAATTTAATTGCTTGGTCTAATTTTTTACATTAAAATGGCTGACTCATGGCTGAGCCGAAAATAAAATAAAAATAATCCCCCGACTGTTAATAAAGTTTAATTAACTTTCTCTCCAGGGGCGTAAAGCGACTGTATTACTTAAACCCCGGAGAAGCCCAGTTTTCACAATTGCTGTTGGTGTTGACTTCGTGAAGACTGAATTATTTTCTACTGTTACCTGCTCATTCGGAACTATATCGGACAAGATGAAGCTTTCTGTGGTAAGCAAGATACAAAGTTCTGCATGTTTATGAATGCATTTTGACATATTAGTGCTCAGACGCTCTCTGGTTTGAAATATTTTTTTAACGAGCTTTCGACTGCCAATCTTCAGTCTTCACTGACAGGTAGTTTACAATGAAATAAATCGAATTCAGACAACATCCAGTTTACAATCGCATACACGCGGAACAAAAACATGAGACGAGTGACGAGAATTGACAGTTATGGTCACATAAGTGATTAATGCGGACTAATAGGTCTATACAACGCGGGGAAAAATTGTCAACGTTTCTTGAGTAAAAAAACGATATTTTTCTTGTAAATTTTTCAAGTTAAATTATTGTCAGCATTTTTGTTGTTGCATGCAGTGTGCCATTATTCCAGTGTTGATCTGTGCCGATTACCAATATTACTGCTTCGTTCTCAAAATCAATTCGGTGGGTCGGTTTTTCCAGGCATGGTTGGCAATGTTGGACCCGCTCTTACATAATTGTTCAACATTTCTTTTATGCTCCTTTCTTCTGGTGTTGAATGTTCTGCCCGCCTCACAAATGTAACTCCAGGTGTAATCTGCGCAGCTGATTCGATAGATGAACATAGATTGATTGATAACGATAGATATTGCACGTTGCATAAAGCTTTAGGTTCTTCAATTATTACAGTAAAATCCCGTGGACACTGGGAACTTATACTATATTTTCCAGTTTAGGGAGAATAAATAGGTTCTTATGAGGCTGTCTCCGTAAAAACCTCCAGGTCAATATGGGGCTCAAAAATAGATTTCTCTCATACTCTAGTATTTTGAAGATCTATCCTTGGGAACAACTAAAATCGATGTCATTTTACTCAAATTTCCTTTAAATTATTTTTGGGGGCGATTGATATTCGATCGACTGGTAACCAACTTGATACTCCGAATGAAGGCCAAATATCGACATATTTTCAGCGCTATTTTTTAAATCAAATTCATACCTAAATTTCAAATTTTTTGCTCAGAAATATAGACTTATCCTTCTATTTTCGCAGGTGATACGATTTAGATCATTATTCTTTGGTATAAAATAGAAAACAGCGCAGTTATTGACCCTCCTGAACGGATAAAGGATATCGTCTCAAAATATGTCAACTTCGAAAGCTTATTTCAAAATCGTGGCACTTGATTGGCACATGACTTTAACTTTTCTATAAACTACTAACATTAGTCAACACAAATCGCCAATAATATCTTTCTGATCTACCATTTGACAAAAATGACAAGCGCACAAACTTTGTAAAATTTGAAAATGTGTCGAAATCGAGCATACTTTATCGGTAAACATAATTCTTGATATTAACAAATAAAACCGCCTTATACTACACTGAATGAAGCTTGATTATGTAAATATATGTCTTTCATCATTATTCTTTGGTTTTGCACTCGAATGAAATTGTTTGACTGTACAGTTTGGCTTCAAGGATAGTCATTCAATGCAAGTGTGTCCAGTGTGTTCGAATTCTGCGCGCCTCAATGCCATGAGTCCTGATTGTGACATACGAACTTCGCTCTGTAAATAAAATGTTTCAAAGAAATTAGAAAATTCAGAATTAGTCGTACTACAGACATAATTTTCATTGGTTTGTTTACCTTAAACTGTTATATAAAGTTTCGTTTTATAGAATGTACGAATTAATCTCGGGGAAAACTCCTAACCGAAAGAAATGTACTCGCTGAGCGTAAAACATGTCAATCAAATGACGATGAACTGTTTCGTTGCTCTCTGATTTCCCTTTCTTTGTACCGAATTAAATGTATAAATATTAAAATACCATAAACTTTTGTACTGTACGACATTTGAAACAAGTAAATATATTAATAGTTACTTTACTTCATTTGATGTGTGCCATTTTCTTCTGCAACGTAGCAGGCCAGTTGAAGCCGGCCTAAAAACATTTTTCATAACAATATCTGAAGGGCAAGAAAAATGCTGTGCTTCAGGGGCATATATACTCAAAGAAAAATTCCGCCTGCCTGTGTCACTCTGGTAGTAATCGAATCTGCGGTCCTGCTCTTTGCCGTACCTAATTTCTGAATTGAATTCGGCTGTTTATTATATTATGTAGAAAACCTCGCAATGAAAAAGCCAGCGACTGCAAGTAGTGCGATTGCGTACGGTTGGGCGAATAGAGCGGTGGATCTCGGTTTCGGAGCAAAAGCAATCACCAAGACGGAAAATTATCCTTGGCTGAAAATTGATTTAATGGATGTTTACCTTGTACATGACGTCGTGGTGTTCAACGCGTTAGCACCAACGCATTATGGACCAATGCTGGATCTTAATATACGCATAGGTAAGTAGATAGGTGATATTCAACAACAAACAACAAACGACAAACGACAAACAACCAGCAACAACAGCAAACAACAACTACAAACAACAACAGCAGCAACAACAACTACAAACAACAACAGCAAACAACAGTGACTTTAAGATAACCGACTACGGACTACAGACGGGAGTCACAATCGAGCCACAGCCTGAAATATGAGGGCATGTACTCTCTTCTGGCCGTTGTATACCATCCGTTGGTTATTCCCTGGACGACAGATCTGTCGAACAGTTCCAACAACAAAACCAAAACAGTTTCTGAGGGGTGCACCTTTTCTAGCAATTGCTATTGCATAACTTTCAAGGCAATCTCTCGAAAGAAATGGTTGGTTCCATGATTTAATTAAGTCGATCGATAGCCATGTGTTGTGTATACCCAGTCGAGGACGGTGTAGTGATCATGCATTACTCTGGAACAGGACGAGCAAAACTGTGAATCATATCTGAATAACGGCAAGGGTAATTTAGTCTTTTCAACAAAATACACAAGCCTTCCATTCCACTACAAACAGTTCCTTGAGGACAAACAAATCTGTCTGGAATACGAATCGATTGCTTTAAAAGAGGCAGGTCATGCATTTCAAACCTGAATTCCGCTTTGCATTCATGAGGATCCAAACTTTCAAAATCGAATCCATCGTATTTGCAGTAAGAAAATTCTGGATTTTGAAGTTTGTACTACGCAAATAAAACAACAAATTCCTCTTCGCTTATAATTTCATCAGCCAGGGCAATTATCAAGGCATCGTACACTTCTTGCAATGATTGCATTTTGTTGAAAAGTTTTTTTTACTTGTATACAAGAACTTAACCGTAGCTGTATTCATGCTGTTCTATCTTAAAGTTCCCGCACGCGGTAGATGGTGACAGCACTCACTAACAGCAAACAACAACTAGAAACAACAGCAACAGCAGCAACAACAACAGCAAACAACAACAACAGCAACAAAAACAAACAACAGCAGCAACAACAACTACAAACAACAGCGACAGAAACAACAACAATAGCAAATAACAACAACAGCAGCAACAACAGCAAACAACATTATACAATCTTCAATACAAGGATTTTACCAGTATTTAATCTGATTTAGGAAGTGCCTCAATAATCAACGACAATCCATTATGTACAATTGCAAATATATATGTTGGGACAGTCATCATTCATCGACCAGGGATAGTGGCCTCTATGGTCACTGCTGAGGTGTATGTGAACACAAATAATGCTGGTAAGAAGTATTTCTTCATATTTAAAGTTTGTTCGTTCTGCAACCAGGTATATCAATCATGTTCCTAAAATATTCCGCCCCTCCCAGCATTTCCGCCAAAATCCGGTCTTGTAAAGATAAGAAGAAATATGTTTCGCTCGCTACTCTGGTTTAAATAAATGATTACAAAGCCCAGTCGAATTGTAATGAAGACCCAACGTTTCGACACTCCAGTCTAATGTCTTCATCAGGGGTGATCTAAAATTGCAATCGTGGCTTCTAAATACCCAAGGGATGACGTCACCTGCCAATGAGATGCATATATTCCTCTGGCAAATAGGCACCGTCATCTCTATTCAAAACATGATTACTCATATTTATATGCCACGCTTCTACGCAAAGTCTTTGACTATAGCGATTGTTTGTGGTAATTACTTTAGAGTTTTCCCACGCAATCTCGTGTTTGGTATAACAGACATGTTCGGCTAAAGCTAATTTTCCCTTGTCTAAAGTTGAAACAGCCTTTTGATGTTTTTTTTAGCCGTGTACCAAACTGGCGTTTAGACTGACCCAAATACTCTTTCTCGCAGTCACCGCATGGTATAGAATATACAGCATGAGTTTTCTGATTTGTTTTGACAGGATCATTTGTCTTTGCGAAAATATGACCTAAAGTCAAATAAGGGTTTAAGGCAACCTTAACATTACAATTACTTAAGATTCTCTTGCTTGGTTCTGTGACACCTTGAATGTATGGAACTATTGCATAACCCTTAACAGAGGTATCACCCTCGGAGTTATTTTGGTTCCTACAAACAGGTAATCTCAGGCAATCATTAAGAAAACGTTTTGGGTAGTCGTTTCCCCTAAAATATTTAGAACATATTTAATTTACGTTCATTAGCTTGAGAATAACTGTTTGACGGCAAGGATTCAGCTCTTTGAAGCAAAGTTCTTGCTACGGATCTTTTATGGCTTACTGGGTGATGAGAGTCGTATGACAAGTATTTGTCTGTGTGTTTGGGTTTGCGATAAACATCAGTCTCTAACTTCCCTTCGACAGTTCTGTGCACACTCAAATCTAAAAAGCTAAATGTCCATTTATCTCACGTTCTACCGTGAATTGGATGGACGGCTTAATAAAATTTAAATGTTGCAGCAGAATATCGATTTCATTTCTAGAAACCACAGAGATGACATCATCGACGAAACGTTTCCAAAACGATAGAGATACCGGAACAGAGGCTAAAGCTCCTTGTTCGACATCTTCCATGACTAAATTAGCAATTACTGCCGATACTGGTGACCCCATCGCTGTTCCAAAAACCTGTTGATAATAACAGCCCTCAAACACAAAGTATGTGGCGTTGAGAAAAAAAGACAGAAGATCAATAATATCTTCTACAGGCAGGATGTTCTTTGTAACAAAGTGGCATCCTGTCTTAGTCTTTTTATCGCAACCTTGATGGCAAGATCAACTGGGATGTTTGTAAAGAAGGAAACGACATCAAATGATACCAACACTTGATCTGCTTTAAGAGTTTTACCTCTTACAAATTCTGCAAAATGACAGGAATTTTTGACAGTGTTTTCGGTATTCCCCACCACAGGGGACAAAATTTTCGCAAAAAAACTTGAAACTCCATATGTAGGAGAATTCACAAAGGATTCTATAGGAGAATTCACAAAGGATTCACAAATGATTCTACAAAGGATTCTGTAAAAGAATCCACAAAGGATTCACAAAGGATTCTACATATTGGTGTTGTTGTTACGTGCGTGTTATTATGTTGCAACGTGGTGTTGTTGTTATTTGCCATTTTTTAAAGTTCAATGACAAAATATATTCAGTGGTAAAATATCGTCACGGTAGCTTTATGGTAAAGTAATGAATATGTTGGTGGTATATTCTTTCATAATTTGTAGGCTGCATTGCAGTGACATTATTACAAACTTGTCGAGTAGAATTCTATAAACTGCATGAACACAGCTGGTTAATAATATACATAA